CGAGGCACGACTGGAGGCTCGAGAGCCAGACCTTGAAGGGCCCGGACCAGGCCCCTCCATGGTGAAGGGGGCTGTGCGGGGTAGTGAGGGGGCTGTGCACTTAGAGACTGAAGCCTAAGCGAGAGAGGAATTAGGTGTGTGGAGATAGTTGCCACGCAAAACCCTGGAGTTTTGCCTGGCCGAATGCGGTAATGTTTTTAAGCGAGAGGAAAGTAGAGGGCGCGGAGCGTGACTTAAAGCTAGGGAGGCACCTCGATATTTATATTCCGCATCTGGGTGGTCGCGGCCTACATCAAATCCCTTACTGACTATGTACCTGCCATACTAACGCTTCAGTGTCTTTGGAGTGCGAACTCCGTTTGACCCTGAAAACTAACTTCCTCGCTCTCTTCCTGAGTGGAGTGATCAGCTCCGTCAAAGGACTTATCAATGACTCTTCTCTGTGCATAGCTTAGAGTGCATGACGAAGATAACTAACTCGACCAGTAAGTTGTTATTAACCAATCGTAACTAGGTCTTCCAGATGACTCTAGCTTACGCGAGCTGAAGGGACATGCATATTACTTCTTGTAATTGCATATAGACTTGCAGAGGTCGTAGCTCAATAACTATCTGACCAATCTGAATCAACTAAGTCTTATCTTGTAGAGTGGAGCTCCTTTTATGTTATCCAGCAAAAACCCCTCGGTCGCATGCCTCGTATCTCCGTGGAGCGGGCTGCATAGATGCCTGGTCATATTGTGCGCTAATATCTTAGCGCTACGAATACTATGGCGGGGCCCGGAGTCGAACACGTGACCTTATGCATTTAGTCACGTGCCACACCGATTACGCTTCTATGTGTAACATCAGCTCAAGGATCTCCTATAACTTACAGTTATGAGTCATCAGTTTCACATGATATAAGTTATGAGTCATACTATATAAAGAGCAACTATATAAGGAGCTAATAGAACCTAGAAGGATAAGCTCTTCACATATTCTTCTAAGGCCCTGTTCAGCATACCACAATAAAAAAAAATTGCAATTTTTCTTAAAACAGCATATTTCTAAATCTATGAACAGAATAAGAATTAAATGAAAAATAAAGTTTATAGTCCTATAGTAGATACCCTTCTCCTCATTCTGGCCTAAATAAAAGTCAAGAGGAGCATTTTTTGCAGTTAAGTAGAGAAATTAGTAATGTTGCAAAATATGGTGGTCCCATTTTCTCTATATTTTGCAACATCACTAAATTTCCTACTTAACTACAACAAATGCTCCTCTTGACTTTTCTTTGGGCTAGAATGAAGAGAGCAGTATTCTCCATACGACTATACCTTTTCATTGTACTTTAACCCTTATTCTATTTGTAGATTCAGAAATATGCTGTTTTAAGAAAAATCACAAATTTTTTTTATTGTGGCATGCCGAGCAGGGCCTAAGTTATTTTCTATACTTATATTTTTAGAATAAAACATCTTTATCATACATTCTCTCTTCTGTTATCAGACCCAAGACCTCTCTCTCCTCCTAGGAGGAATAAACTACCAATATGACCATTATTTACTCGTGCGTCTCAGCCAAGATTTGCCTTCCCCATTTGTCATAGTGAGTGCAGCTGAATCTTTCTTCCAGAATAAGCATAGTTCATAAGAAGCGTGAGACTAGAACAGACACTAACTGTTCAGGGAATTGAAAGCGTATATAACAGTAGGTGGTGATTTACATGATGAACTTTGAACTCAATGGGGTACGATATTTACATATATTGGTACACCAATTACCAAACACAAATATGTATTAGCTTGTATAATATTCTCAGGTACAGCAAACTATTCTACACTGTTAGGCATTAAATTTATTATCTCCTCCCCAAGCACGAACCTGTAACAGATTGAGGTGAAAAGTCATACAGAAACAATCAACCAACTCCTGAGGCATATGGTTCCACTCAAACCTAAGAGTATTTATCACCTCCTCCCTTGTCTGCTCACTTGTTCCAGTAAAGTCGTACTCCATCATTGCATCCTTAAGGTAATTCCAGCAAGGCTCGATCTTATTCAAGTCTGGAGAGTTTGCCGGCCATTTAGGAATCCGGCGTATACCTCTAGCTGTTCGGTGATGTTGAACTTTCTTGCAACACATTTACGCAATCTGAGTTGTCTCTGCCACTAGTTGCATAGTAACAATATACTATACTTCTTTGGTAGAAAAGAACGACCTCCCTGCACACTACTACAAATGGGGAAGGCAAATCTTGGCTGAGACACACGAGTAGTCTCTAGGAGACTGCCAGCAAGCAAGTACACATAGGCATAATCAGATAAAAGCACAAGGCTTGACTATCAACCTCACATAGGCAAAGGTCTAAGAACTATCATACTCTATAGAAGAAAAGTATCATTGCCTGTCACACCACCCTACCCGATACGATTCTTACCACTTTTGTCAACCTCCTAGTACAGAAAACCCATAACACGAGAAAAACGCGGTAAATGGTTGCTAAACGAGCTCTATCGGGCACAACCCCGAGCGCTCGTTTATTATTAGACGGTATCCTGCGGCGGAGAAGGATCCACGAGTTAGCAGGCAATATACCCGTAATCTGAATCCGAACGGTTTGCATGGTCATGAAATTAACACCTTCACCGAAGCGATGCAAACCCACTAAATTACAAATGCAGAATACTAAGTAGTGGTCACGTAGGGCGTGATTTTTCCAAGATAGAGACAGATCGGGTCAGTGATTGGGTGCTCCACTCTAATCATAGTACAGTACGAGTAGTATCACATATCATATCCCATAAACTCCATATTATGTCACGACAGCGGCTACCCCACCCATCCCAGCCAGCCTTATATAGGAACTCCCGTTAGCTCTCACCCATCCCAGAAAGCTATCTTAAAGCTACAAGTATCATACCAACACCCAGCCTTATCCCAACCCAGCAAGAAACCATGACAAAACTCCATAATCCTCCTCCCCCTCCTCCACCAAGCCCAATGGAACCGAGAACCTCCCGTCGCAGAGAACCAGAAATTGTGGAGAGCGATCATGAAGAAGGTATGATCTTGGCCATCATTCTTTTCTCTCATGAAACCCCCCCCCCCCAACAAAAAAACACAAAAACGTCTAATTGGTGGTCATCATAACTTACCATACTTATAGAGTACCCAACGGACCTCGAGGTCCAACCTTGCATCCCGATAATATTCGTCATGGGCATCAGCGGTGCGGGGAAGAGCAGCTTCATCAAAACGCTCGGGGGGAGGGATTCCAGGATGGAACCTCCAGTGACGAGCGCCTCCGAATCAGGTTATTATTGAAAAAAAACCCACCCTTTTACCCGCACCAGCATACAAGTGCTGCATGCGTGCTGGCCAGGCTAACCCGAAAGTGGCCATTTCTAGCGACCCATGAAGTTGGAGTCTACAAAGTCGTTCTAGACGGTCAGGAGATGCTACTAGTCGACACCCCGGGTTTTGAGGATAACAAAACGTCGAACCTCGAGACGCTTCGAAAGATCTGCGAGTACATAGTGGGGATAGCGAATAATGCCGTGTGTAACATTCACGGCGCGGTTTACGTGCACAACATTGCTACCTCTAGATGGCTCTCTGGAGACAAGCGCACCTGGTCCATACTTGAGGCGCTCTGCGGCGATGGCGCCATGGGTAACGTTGTTGTCACCACTACCCGGTGGCCGGTAGATTATGAGGAGGAAGACTATGAGCAGAACGAGAAGAGAAATTTGGAAGAGTATTGGGGAGGTGTACTGGGGACGGTCAGGCTCGCGAAAAACGATGTCCAAAATTCGAGGACTATTATCCGGATGTTACTTGGTGTTCGTCCCAACACCTTCCAGGTGGAGTGGGAATTGAGCCATGGGAACACGCCTTCAGATACCAGCGCCGGGAGAATCGCCATAACCGAGGGCGAGGAGGCACTAAGTAAGGCGGAAAGGGAGAGGGAATATGCCCTGGCAGAACTCGGGCTGGTCGCTTCGCAGTTCGAACCAGCGCAGCCACACAATGCGCCGAGGCCAACCCCACCGCCGCCCCGGCCGCCGCCGCCGCCAGACATGAGAGCACAAGACGCAGCCAATTTCAAAAAAGACATAGAGGCCCTCAAGCAACGCATAGAATCCGCCATACAGGCCAATTACTCGCAACTCGAGAAGATCAAGGGTTCGGAGAAGAATCTGCAGGGGGAACTCCAGCAAGTCCAAGCATCAATAAAAGAAAAGCAAAAACTGTTGAAGGAATACCGCCGAATACGCCGCAAGATAGAATCCTCCGACGCCGACAAACTGAAGGGGGCTATGAACGCCATGCGCAACCCGATCCCCACCCAGAAGATAAATCTACTGGGAATGCTGCTAGTGGGAGGAACGGTCATAGTGGAGATGGGGTCAATGAATTTCCCTTTCTATGGATTTGTTGGCCTTGGCGGGTTGCTTCTATATAACGGAGTGAGGGGGATGATGCCGAAAAACGCGGATCATACGCCGAAGAGGGACAGTCAAGCCTCCCAAAAGGCGACCCAGACATCTGGCATGGAGGGTCAGATCCCCACGATTAACATGGAGGAAGGGGTTGGGCTGAACGACGGCGGTGACGGAGACGATGAGCGGGTTGAAAGGAGGAGAGCGAGGGCGCGGATGAAAGCGCGGAAGGTGAAGCCAACGGATACGAAGGGGGGGGCGCCACCGGAGAAGCCGCCGCCGCCGACAGTGCAGAGAAGATCCAGCTGGTTTTCGTTTTGGTGGGCATGAGTTGAGCCAGTCTCCAGGGTCAAGCTGTGTTTATCTATGATATTACCACCGTTATTATACAAGTGCAATTGAGGTGTTGCCGCGTGTGATGTGCTAGGACAGCAGTCGGCCAGGCTCCTTGGTCGAAATTAGCGTGGATTGAAATCTTGAGTTTACCCGACTGTGATACGGTATAGTATGGAAGGGCAGGGTAGAGAGGAAGAAGGGTATGATACGTTATGGTATTATATGCCTATGAGTACAGTGTAATCTAGAGTTATAAAAGAGGGAAGAAGAGGTTAGGAGGTGTCTATTCTACGCCGTAAACAACCCAATTAAAACCAATAAGGGAATAAGGAAAGGAGAAAAGAAGAAACCCACTCCAGCAGGTGAAGAAATTAGCCATAGATCCCCACGCATTAGCCACCATTCATCAACCTGTGACGGCCAAGCCCGCTCCCAATCAGCCATCCTTCAAGGCCCCAAGTCGAAGCGAGAACTCACCCCTCCTTGACGACTTCAACCTTCCTCCCGCTACCCTTCAAATTCTCTTCCAAACTGCTGCCAGTTTTTTTTATCACTTCCTTCCCCTTCACCGCTCCCCCTCCCTCCTTCTTTCTCTTTTCCTCATCCTCCTCCGCACACCCACACTTATAGGCCTCGCCCACCGTCATGCAATCAAACACCTCCTTCCCCAACCGCTCGTTGACGAGATTATGCACGAAGCACCCCCACTGACTCGCAGCGACACGCCCGCTCGTCTGCGGCGGGTACTGCACGAGCAGCTTCTGGAAGTGTCCCGCGCAGTCCCCGCATGGGTACAATCTCGCGAAGAGCGCCAAATAGTGCGCCAGTGCGGTGCGCTCGTCGATGCTCGGCGACTCCGGGAAGCGGGCAAGAGTCGTGTGGAAGAGTTTCCAGCTGGCACGACCGAGTTCGGCTTTTAGCGTCTCGTTTCCCAGGTGTGGCATTATTGCCCCGCCGGTTAGGATCGACGAGGGGACGTGCGGGGTTTGCGCTGGGGCTATGGCGGCTTGGTGGGGGGGAAGGGGTGGGGGGGCAGATTTCGTGGAGGGGAGGAGGAGATACGAGAAGAAGAGGAATAGGGTGAAGAAGGTTGCTAGCAGGAGGGGTTTGCTTCGTGTCATTTTGGAGTCGTCTCCTCTTCTTTTCCGGTGGTTCTAGGTCGGGTTGGGATCGGGTGATTGTGTTGTGTCGAGTGGTCGTCGTCGAAATAGGAGAGGACAAAATTAAAGGGGGAGAGAGTAAGAGCTAATGATGATTCCCTTATGTAAATTTTCCCTCCTTTTTCCCATGGTCAGCAAGCCAGTCTGCCAGAAAGCAACAATTTCAACGCAAGCAAGAAAAAAGAGAATTAAAAGAGGGAAAAAAAGACTCGAGCAGTCAGATGATGGCAAAGTTTTTAAGTATGGTGTGGCGTGGGGATGGGCCAATCCCTCTCTCTCGCACCGGTGCAAAAGATACGGTATTATGGATAGAGCTCACCGGCGGTGCGAACGGCGTAGATTTTAGTTCTTTGTAGCCGAACAGGAGTGAAGTATCCCATGGATCATTGTGTCTCCTGCGGGGAGGAGTACCGTCCTTTTGTGTCAGGAGCATGAAGGTGTGTGGTGATGATGGCACGGGGTAGATTGGACCAGTTCTTGTAGCACACGAATGGTACGGAAAAGGAAGCCAGGAGGAGGCTGCATGGTGCTGCCGGTACGAGTACATAGGGTACTCGAGTACAAGTACTTGCAGCTCGTATCAGACTGTCTTAGTTCTTCCGTCCCTGCCTGTGGATTTACAGTAACATCCGCACTGGGTAGCCTACAGCGGAGTCCCATACCCTATCACACAATGCCCCACCTGCCTGCAAAATCCGCGTAGGCTAAGCACTTGAGGTACCGACGGTACTTGTAATCAGATCAGATCATCTCACCCACCCAAGTACTCGAGTATCGGTACCCGCTATCATATCATGCTCGAGCAGACTGGAGTGTCCCAGTCCGGCGGGGTAAAAGCCCACCTTCAATTCCCGAGGATAGAGAGGAAAAAGCCAGCAGAGAGAGACCCCCTCACCCCATTCCATCAGGACCATCTCCAGTGCAGAGTACCTTGAGACAGTAATTGACCCTTGGACAGAAAAATCTCTTCTCTCTTCTCGATCCCCTTTTCTTTCTCAAGCTTTTGCAGAGAACAGGCAAGCAAAAACAATTTGTGTATGATATGATGGAGCAAACATCCAGTAGCAAAAGCTATGTATGGGTGACTAGGTAACAGTGGGTTATGAAGTGGGGGGGATAGTTCAATTCTACACTTATAAGTTTGGCCACCCCTTCCTCCCCCCGTCTCCTCCTCACATCTTCCCCTTCCCCGCATTTGGTTTGTCTTGTCTTGCCAATACTTCACCCCCTCCCTGAAGGCCCCCTCGCAAGGAAAGCACGAGAGCACCTTCCTTCTCGGTGGGAATTGAATCAAGACAATTGCCTAGCCCACAAAACAAGGAAGGGCAGAGAAGGGTTTAATAATTAGAAAGAAAAGAAAAAATGGTATTCCCACCGTCTCCAACCGAATCCATCGGTTTGTTCCCCCTCCCCCTCCTCCTCCCTCCTCCATCGCAAACTAACCACCACCATCAAATCCCAGACTGGGACAACATTGGCTTCCGAGTGCGCGAAGTCAATGGGCACATCCAATGCACCTACTCCATCCACACCAAGCACTGGACCGCGCCAACCTTCGTCCGTTCCCCCATCCTCCCAATCCATGGGATGGCTCCGGCCCTAAACTACGGCCAGCAATGCTACGAAGGGCTGAAAGCCTTCCGCTCCGCCTCTTCCAACTCGATCCACCTCTTCCGCCCGCTCTCCAATGCCAAGCGCCTCGAGCACTCTGCCAGCTTTGTCAGCATGCCCGCCCCGTCGCCGGAACTCTTCCTAAAAGCTGTGGAGATGGCCGTCTCCCTGAATGCGGAGTTCGTGCCGCCCGCGCAGTCCGGCGCGAGCATGTACATCCGGCCAGTGCTCTTCGGCTCGAGCGCGCAGTTGGGGCTGAGTCCGCCGGAGGAGTACATGTTCGTTGTGTTCGTGCTCCCCGTCGGGGTCTATCACGGGGTTAAACCTGTGGACTGCCTGATCCTGGAGAGCTTTGACCGTGCGGCGCCGAATGGCACCGGGTCCGCTAAGATTGGCGGGAACTATGCCCCCGTTCTTAGGCACTCGGATGCAGCGCGGGAAGAAGGCTTCGGGATAACGCTCCACCTGGACTCCCAGACGAGGACCTACATCGACGAGTTCTCCACATCTGGCTTCATCGGCGCCCTCCCGGACAAGAGGCTCGTCATCCCCTCCAGCGATAGCATCATCGAAAGCGTCACCAGTGACAGCGTGCAGAGGATCGCAAAAGACCTGTTCGGCTGGGACGTACAAACGCGCAAGGTCAAGGAAGCGGAGCTGGAGGACTTTGTCGAGGTCTTCGCTGCGGGCACGGCCGCAGCGCTTGTCCCCGTCAAGAGTATAACGAAGAAGAGCACATCCTGGAAGAAGGTCTACGGCGGCGAAGAGCCGGGTGAGATTTTTGTCGCGTTGTTGGACGGGTTGAAGGGCATACAAAGTGGCAGGGACAAAGACCCGTTCGGATGGAGGGTCCCCGTCCGGGAATTCAAACTCGACGAGGCCACCGGTCAGGAAGTCGAGGCTGTTGATCAGATGCCCTAGTCTTTTATTTCCCTCTTCACCCTCACTATTTCCTATCTATTTATTCTCACTGCCCAAATATATCATATTATATAGGTGTGTGCGTGTGTGTAAAGCAAGGCCTTGCTGCCTAATAAAGATGATACAGACATGCACGCATACATAAAATTATACCAATCATTGGCGGATGATCACGGAATATCACTCGATTGACGAAAATTTAAAGAATGGAACTTTTGCACAAGATTAGCCCTTACAAGGTCAGTATTTGATCGAGTCGTATGATACCACCCATCCACGGGCCTCATACCAAGGGGGGGGTGGAACACTCCCCGTGTTCATAATGCAGTAGCAAACAGCTAGCGAGTATCATATCCAGCGAGATAATCAAAGCAAGAAGGGAACAGGACAAAAGTGACCCCCCGCCCCCTCTCAACACATGCGTACACACGCGCCATTGCAAAACCAAGATACAACAAAGGGAAGGGAAGAAAAAACAACCAGAAACCTTCCACGAAACCTACCAGAGGAACCATCATACAGCCCCTCATCCGTCCGCGCCAATCAACCCACAGCCCCAAAGCAATACACACCGATCCAGAACGGTACCAAACCGCCCCAACCTCCAGAACATTTAGTACCCATCCCCCAGTCCATCCCATCCCACACTCCCGGCCCATACATAATTACCTACAGGCATTTACAAACATGGCCGGGATTTTTTTTAAAAAAAAAATTACGAAAATTACACTGTGTATACTCGAGTTGGGTCCGGAAGGTATCGTGTTTAAAGAGGACATCAGCTATATATTACAGGAATAATAAATAATAATAAAAAGACCGGAACTGGCAAAAATATTCTGGCAATCGGGGAGGTTGTGCTGCACCGTAACCACGATCTTCCGGATTGTTTATGATCCACTATGGTTATTGATATTGGTGTGAGGGAGTGGTAGACTACCAGTATTACAGCCCACCTGCCCGCAATCTACGAGTACCCGCCGTTTCTTCACCCAGGGAAATCTGAGGATATTTCTTTTGCACAGCACTGTACAGGTAGTCTACGTACTATCCGCAAAGTACCTTCACGGAAGGAAAGGAAATGGAAGCTTTCCGTCATATTTTAGGTCCTTGTTGGCGATGAAAGTATCATACTCGTAGAGTACTATACTGTAACATACCAGTATGATACCGGTAGATTACTGTATGTACTCGTACGAGTACAAAATACTCGAGTATATGATACAATGTACGAGTATGAGAGATCTCATATTTATAACAGTCTAACATCCCCACCCCCAACCTTGCCCATCACTCGTCATTCCCTTGAAGGTCTAGTCTAGTCTAGCCCACCAGTGAATACCCAACGAGAAATACAAAAAGGTGAATTCTACTCATTATTTTCAAGTATTATATTATATATAAAACAAAATGTCGATGGGTATAATACCTACGAGTACAGTACAGTAAAGTTCACCCCTCACAACTTGTACTATTATTATTTTTTTCCTTCTTTCTTTCCTTCTTTCTTTCTTTCTTCCGCCGCGGAGAAATCCTGAGGTACTATACCGGTACGCTACATCACGGAACTCGCGCCCAGCGGAGCACAGTGCCACTAGGGGTTTTCAAAGTTAAAAAAGTAGCGAAAATTTAGCTTACTTTGCTGTTTTATGTAAACTTGGCATGCACAGAAATGGTTAATTTACTGTTACTTAACTTTACCATACCATAGGGTAGAGACGGAGGTCTGGAGGTTGGTAATGGATACTGGTCCTGGTTTTACACAGCTTCATACCAAACCTTTAAAACCCAACATAGTGCAAAAAGAAAAATTTTAAAAAATACCATAGTACATCCTAGGAATAATTATGTACTCTCACCGATAAAAATCTTCCAACTTTTGATATTTTGTTGACAGAAATAGGTTTCTTACTATCTCTGTAAGATTTACCATACCCTTTGTACTTTGCCTTCAGTTACCCCCGGACTCTCAAATATGGTACCCAGAACATGAGGATGCTATTGGCTGATACCAGAAAGTAAGCTTATGCAACTTCCGGCATTTACTCATTACTGAAAAATCATGTTTTTAACTTTGAAAACCCCTAGTGAGTATAATATACGAGTGTAGAAAAACCTGAGTACATACGGTAACTCACTGCTACAGCACAGTACATTACCACGCCACGGTTAGAGAAATTCCCCCAGCAAGTCAAGTCAAACCGTCCATGGAAAAGATAAACGTCGCTCAAGCTGCAAGGATTGCCTTCCATTTTTTTGGCAGTTGGACCAAAGGCGTGGAGGGCAAAATGGTAGGCAACTTGTATGGTATAGCATACGGTAGTACCGGTACAGTACAATACTCGCACAACCCAATGGGAAAAAATTCTTATCCCCGGAAGGGTGGAAAAGCGGGACGACACCATGATTAAATTTTGATATTCGGATGCAAAACGGTATGGTATTGTAATTACTATACCCTACCGTAGTTACATTGGCGCCAAGGGTCTATGATTAATTGTAAAATTCCCAAGCACATGACACCGGTACCGTGGTCAGGAAAAAGGGTTCATGCCATCAGTATCTCCAAAGTTGAAGAGGTTCCACCATATCTCTGGTCCGGGAAAACGTGTCCCAACTCCTTCCAGATTCCATCATTTTTGATGCAACACCCCCCCCCTTCATTACAACATTGATATCCCGCTCAGCCTGACGGTTGCCTATTCCTACTGGTAGTCTAATAAGGATCAAGAGGTGGTCATCACCGATAGCAAATCTTGCCAAATCTCGCTCTTCTCTCTCCTTTTTCTTCTTTTGAAACTTGACTTATCGTTGACCTGGTGCTTTACTACTCGAGTATACCTAGAGTGTCGCCCGATGACGATGGTGGAAGCATTTAGTACGATAGCTGCCCGCCAGGTACAGCACATCCATGCACACTTATACCGTACACACCCTGAAATAAAGAGGTTATTTGCTCAAGATGATCAACAGGAAAAGGATGCCAAAACGCCCCCAAGGCACCAGTTTTCGGACCTAATCGGAAAATATCACTCTTACCCCCCATGCCACATTACCATCCTAAGAAAGAAATAAAAAGAGAAAAAGGAATGAAGACATAGACGCGCAAGAGGATGACAAACTATAAAAAACAAAAAACGATAAACTCCAAAGTACACCCTCCGTCATGAAACCCATCCGACGTCTCCCATGTTAAAAAGGAAAGAAATAGAATAAAACAGTGAAGCGGAATGAATGATGCACCAGAATGAAAGTACCAAAGGCGGGAGGGGAAGGAGAGATGGATATGAAAAATGGAAGCAAAAAGGAGGCGAGAGTGAAACATGAAACAACGGTATTTTTTTTGAAGTCCAAAAAACCTGCTCCCACCGCTAAACAATACGATAGGTGAAACAAAAGGGCAAAAAAAATTGGAGGGATCAGGCATGTTTTTCTTTCTTTTTTTTCCTCATGCATCGTTCGGGGGGTAGTTAACCAATAAACTCTCCCGAGGCCATTTCCCACCAGGGCCGCCGCTCTTTCCAAACTCGTTGCATTAATAGTCTTGCATGTCGGACCTGAAAGGAGAATGGGTGGTTAGTAAAAAGTGTCATTTTATGGCCAAGGAAAAATATACGGGGAAACAAACCTGCACTAAACCACTCTTCTCCACCTCAATCATCCTCCCCAAAGTGTAATTTCTGTGATTGCTGTCCACCGCTTCACATCCTGCCGAGAACAGCGGGAAAAGCAAGCAATTCTCAGCTGTGCCACCAGGACGTACGTTCCCCATAGACCGCACAATCTGCCCAACCGACTGTTGCACACGCGGATGTTGGGTGTGGTAGTTCAACACACGCCGGTAAAGGTGAATAAGCGCCGCCCAGTGGAACGAGTCGTTAGTGGCCAACAATTCCTCTGTGTCGAAATTGTTCGACGGTGATCCCGGCCTGAAATGTTGGAGCGCTGCATGGTTGTGATGACTGTGCGCGCAATTTCCCACCGCCTTGCCACGCGCATCCTCCAGCTCTTGTTGCAATATCATGGCGGCCTGGAAAATTGCGGGTGTTGGTGTCCACTCGTCATAACTTCGCTCATGCATCGCGTGGTTTGTGAGAGCCAAACTTTCCGCGTACTCCCTCTTTTCCTGCTCGCATCTCCGTGCCAGCTCCCCTATCTTCGCCAGGATACTCACGCAACGGCTTGTGAATCCAAAGAAGCAGTCCACTGCGTATTCCTCCGCCTCCCCTTCACCATCGTCGTTTGTCCAGTACTTGCCGCTAAAAATCGGCTCCTCCGTGTCACGGCCACTGAGACTTCCCAGCAAATCAAGGTACGCAAACCACCTAACCAGGAAATACGAAACCTTGTCCCTGCTATGCATCCCCTGAGCGCCTCCACGAGCCAAGATGATCTTCCGGGCCGCGCTGAGATGAGTTTGCCACGTGAGCCCACTCACCGAGAACGGATTAGGAGAAATGATCTGGTATGAAGACAACATGATGGCGGTCGCTAATGTTGAATCGCTCTTCGCGTCTTCAGGGTTATCCAAGGAGGAATGGAGGCTCCGTACTGTCTCATCAAGGAATCGACCGATCCGCTCTGTAGGCTCAGGGTGCTCCAACAATCTAGCCCGGTGACTTGCCGAATACGCAAGAAGCAAATTCATCAAATGATCGGTTTGAACAGCCACTGCAAAAATCAGGCTATTAGTCTTCGAAACTATAAGGGGCAGTGAGAACAAAAACCCACTTTGAGGAAGAATGCTCTTGAAGGGATTCGCCGAACAATCGTGGGGCACTAGTAAGCGAGCGGTGTAATGTAAGTAGTGGTGAAAGTACATCATGTTCTTTCTATTATCGAGCAGTAGCTGCGGTAGTGGGTCAAGCTTCCTTGGAATAGTGATAGCAACAGGGTAAAATGGATTGCTCATATCGCCCCCATAAAATCCTGCCGCCCTTCCTATCATCGCCATACCGTCGTCGTAGCCGCCATAATCGTGTCGAGGGATTTCTTCCACATCGTCGTCGTCGTCCTCGTCGTTGTCCATGTCGGGCTCTCCGCGGTCAACGCCGTAAAGAAGCGTGCGGCTCTGGGAAAGATCTTCCCTTTTATAATCTTCCATTTCTGAAGGATATCGGTCAACATAACTTCCGTCATAGCTATTATCGCTATCACGCAAAGGGGGAGCTAATAGATTCTCAACAGAAACCCGGCGCATGCCCGTACCTACACCAGCAGGATGGTGGTGGTGGTCCATCAATCCTGCGACATGATTTATTGAGGTATTGGGTATTGGTTGTGACACATAATCCAAAGCTGTGCTAAGAGAAGTTGGAACCGGTGCCACGGTAACGGTTGGACGGGCGTTGATATGCTCAAACGTATATGGAGAGTGAGGGGGTGCTTGTATAGGAGAAGTGCTGGTTCGTATTCTCTTCCTCGGGGATGTAAGGATAGGAGGAGGCGTATGAAACGACTTGTTGTGATATTGCTGTGTCGGAGAGCTGTGTTGCTGGCTGTCGTACTGGCTTGTAGGACTCGTGACAAGGCTGGGGGGGCCCGGGGGACTATGCATCTGGCCGTTGCCATTCGGATAGCTAGAAACGGGCGATGCAACCTGGTTGAATGATTGCGAGACTGGTGTATATGGGGAGAAAAGACCCTGCTGTTGCTGCTGTTCAGTTTTGAAGACTACATCATTCTCAAAAGCTCCAGAGGGAGGTGCTGCAGTAGTTGGGGTAAGTCCTTGCTGCCATCCATAGGCACTCGGCCGATTCTGGTGCTGTTGCTGCTGCTGCTGCTGCTGCTGCTGCTGCTGGATGACGGCAGGGCTCTGTAGCGGTGGAGGCTGTTGTGTGGCAACCGGGGCCAATTGTGGATCAAGAGGTGCCGATGAAGTCGATGAAGCCGGCATCACCGGGGCGCTCGAAGGTTCCGCTACAGAAAACACAGTTTGATAATTCGACATAGTAGTCTTCTTCCCATTCCCAACCCTCGGAACCGGTGGTTTCCTCGCTCCGTTACTAGGCGTAGCCTGCACAAAGGTTTGCGGGGAAGGAAAGTGCTGGTTTATTGAGAACTGGCCAGCCCCAGGGATAAACTGCGACTGATCGTCGGCATTAGGGTCCTGGCCGTTTGCCCCATTCTCCAACTGCTTCTTTTTAAGAGGACGGCCTCCCCACGATAACCTAATCTTGTAATCGCATTCTTCGTCGAGCCGCTCGCAGTTGCTGCAGCGGGGCTTCTCTTCACCACATTTTACCTTCCTGGCCTTGCAGTTCCTATTATAATAACATTGTTAGCATGTGATAGCACCGGATAGGAAGACTCCCGAGAAGCATCGTGAAGCGAAAGTGTTTTTACCAGCAACCGTTCCGGCTTCGACGGCGTATCTCACGACCAGCAACCGGGGCACGGGGCATTTAGACTGTAACTTTTCTCTCGGGGGTGAGGCCTCAGTCAACCTGCCGTGGCGACGGAAGGGGTTGGTTTTATGAGTCGACGACGACGGGACTACCCTGGAATAACGGCTCGCCCCACTTAGGAGAATATCGTTGACGTTGTTGGTAAAAATAAAGAATGGTGGGAGAAGAGGGAGCAGAAGGTTTGTGAGTTGTTGGATGTTGGATGCCTTGAGGCTGAAACCTAAACGGCAAATGCGCTGGAGTGGGGCCCTTGGTTGAGGTGGGGAATAGGGTGAGCAGGAAGATGGCTCAGAGGATGAGCGGCGGGGAGCGGGCGGGCTGAATAATGTCTAGTCGATGGCGGCGAAGGAGGTGGCGATCCACCAGGGCAACCAAACCAAACCAGCACAACCGACAACGGCAGTGGGTAAAAAAAGAAGAGCGGGAGAGAAATTGTATGCAAGCGCTACGTCTGAATGAGGGGCTATATCTGATCCGATCAGATCCAGGCCGGCAAACAGCCGCAATACTGAACAAATTCAATTTTTGGAAAAGAAAAACGGAGAAAATGGTGAGAGTGGGGGGGGGGGTTGGTACAGTAGGAGATGAGAGAAGGGAAGGGAAGGCTCTTCGCTTCACTTGTTCGAGAGAGGGGGGGGCTGCGGGAAGAGAAAGATGGAGATAAACGAGAGAAGGAGAAGAACTGAGGTAAGAAGTGCGAACCGGTGAGAGATGATAATTATTGGGGGCGGACGAGAGTGAGTGAGTGTGAGAGGGAAGGAGGATGAGGAAAGGAAGGCGGACAAGCTACAAACCAACAACCACCACTACAACCACCAGCTCAGTACGACCCAAAAAGCAGAAAGCACCGCTCAAGGGATCGGATTGGGGGCAGAAGGGGGGGTTTACAAAAAAGGGGGGAGGGTATGGATGTGGTGCTGGTGGTGGGGAGGGGGGGGAGGGGGAGGTGGACTTGAGGCGGAGAGCGGAAAAGGCTCTCTCTACTCGTGCTCAATGATACACAAACGGGAGAAAAAAATGAATGAAGTGGCCGGGGGCACCCTAGTGGGTGGGGGGGTGGATAAGAGGAATGCGAGAGACGGGAAGGAAGGCCAAAGGAGATAGACTACTGTAACCCTCGTGGGAGAATGAGAGAATGAGTGTGAGTTAGAAGTTGGGGGAAAAAAGAAAAGGAAAAAGTTGAAAAGTGTGCCACCGTATCGTATCTCGCACTCGAACCTCGGGGTACGGTAAGGAACACTAGAGCCCATTAATGCCGTGCAAGAGGAGGTGCTTGTTTTCGTACTTCGCAGGGCAATGGATACGAGAATTCTGTGAATTCACTGGCACTCATACACTTGTTGTATAAATTATACAAATAAGGCACAGAACGTTACTCGATAGCTATACATCTCCGCATGGCTTGGGGGAGATATTACAGAAAAAAAAAACAGGCAATGCAGGAGTGCCAGTACCGATATCGGTCTTTATCCTTCCCCTCCTCCTCCCAAGTTCAATGATACCCTTCCCAGTCTACCTTAGTCCCCACCTCCCCCGTAGCAAGGTTTCGAGGCAAAGCAGGCCAAGGTATTCAGCACTGGCGGGAGAGGTGGAGGGATTCCTCAGATCTTAATGGTCAGCCAGCAGCCGTGGCTGCCAATCAACACCCCCTCTTCCATTTCCCCTCCCTCTTCTCTCCCCCGTTGTGTTCTCAATGCCTGCTGCCGATACCAGTAGGGTGCCCTTCCAGACTGCGGAGAGAGAGGGCTATCCGTGAATCAACCGTCTACGCCGGTTGATCGAGGACATAAAAATACCGTGCAGCACGGGAAAAGGATGGGTGAGGGAACATAGGGGTGGAGTCTCATACTTTGGACCGGTTCAGTAGGGTGTCGATGTATTTCGGCACAATGGCCACAAGTACCACACAATACTCGTAGTAGCACTCCCCATGAGAGAGCACTCGCTCGCTGCCCACAAAATAACAATGCCAACGAACGCAGGTTATTTCCAGGGTTCTGAGGAGGAGAAGAAAAAAAAAATAGGATTAAAAAGAAAGAGTCCAAGACAAAAGAAAAAGAAAAAAGGAAATCAAAAATCTTGAGGATTTCTGAATGGGTGAGTGAGGGAAAGCGCAAGGTCCTAACTGGCCCCATGCATATGTGTGGTTGTCTCTCTGCTCTATGCGTTGAGCTGCAGCAGGGGCAGGTTAGGTTAGGACAGAACATCAGGTTCCCCTCCTCCTCCCTCCCCGTCCACCTACCTCCTGCCCGATGGAAAAAGCCAGCCAAGCAAAAACTAGCACACGCGAGTATCATCGCAAACCCTCGATCGAAGGGGAAGAAATATCATAACGGAATAAGAAAAAATCACGAACCCCATCTCGATTTCCGTAACCCGCGAGATGTATTTCTTGTCGGGGCTAGTAGATTTCATACATTTTCGGGGGGCAGGGGTGGCCGATTGAAAGGGTTCTTCCTCCCTTCTTCTGCCTTGCTGCCAGAACTCCCTGCAGCACCGTCCACTGACCGAGGGGAAGCTGCCGAGACCAAGGAGACCACGGTACCGTAGGCCAAACCCTCTGCGAGCCTCACCCGTACTTTTTCCTCATTTACCGCTGTCCGTCCCTCCTCCACATGGATGTAAGTCATTTGAAACCCGTGGATTTCTAACCGCTTTTGAGAGGACAGAAGATGGGGAAAAAGGAAAAATTGGAAAAAAAGAAATTACCATGGAGATCATGGAGTAGGGGTGGGAGAATTTGGTTACGATTGCGTTAAACAGCGGTTGTCGAGGGGTGGAGGAGGAACCTGGACGGCTGGATGGAGAGCACCCGGAGTGCGACGCAACCACATTCGATAAGCAATAGTCTAAGCTTCAAGTCCCCAGCATATATAACACGAGGGAGCGTGAGTGTTGGAAACTGTAATAGCATGTCAATGGCAGAGTTGGATTGTGGCAGATGATGATGTTTGAGGGGTCTATGGCGCCGGTATAGTAATCCAAAATCCTCTCTCGAAGGGCTCCCTGGAGATGATCACTCCAGCGGAGTGGGGGCAATCGTAGCGTAGCACCTTGCTGGTACAGTGCTTTTTGTGGTGCTGAATTCACCAAACCGCGATCCAACACAAGAGGCAACCTGCGCACGGCATCTACCGGTATCCGGATCACGCCAAGTGTCGGAGCATCGGAATCTGGGGACATACCGGTACATGGATATGTTCCCATTGGAGTCTGACACGAGAGCAACGAGGGGAAGCCATGCCTCAGCTCTGCAAGAAGGTTCTCTCATAAGCCTCTGCTTTCAAGGCAGGCGTGTGAACTGTTTTGCTACCCTGGATATTTATATCTAGGGAAGTGATACCAGCATTTGATTAAATTCTTTTGTGCTCTTCCCCTGAAACCCCATCATTTACAGCTCCGGTGCCTTTCACAGGATATCTCCCACATTACTTGCAAGTATTTGCCTATTCGACCCAGTGCAATTAGGTGGCCATCTCCGGCTTTGGTGGCACAAGTTCTCTGGGTATTGGAATACCAGTATGCCCGTACCATTCGGGTCATGGTCGGGGAGCTATCAATTCATGGTGGCCTCGAGATCAATACCTCCCCAGCTGCTCCTGGGCCATCCGCAGTGATTTCACGGCGTTTATTGACTGTTATTAAGTTTCTCGAGTATGGACGGGGTGCGGTATGCGCCTCCAACGTGGATTCAAAATTCAAATCGTTCTGGATTGCTTCATCCAGAATAATTTTATCATCCTTGGAGTCAGTACTTCTGTCGGAGTTGATCTTATCGCCCCCATACAAGAGGGAGGGAGGTTTAGCTTGCATAAAGCAGCTCTAGGAGTAAGGAGGATAGCAGATGTACAGTACAACCCTTATGACACGGTAGAACTCGGGTATCATCTTACCAGTAGTGCAAAACAGCCTCATATCAGTTGCGACATCCACACCCACCTCGTTCGATAGCTACAGTGCCCTGTTCACGATGAGTCTGGGTCAGGTACCCCCCCTGCACCCGGGCTCACTAACTCCGAGGGTGAATATTAAGCGCTCATCACAATCCTAACCGCACTGGCGATATGAGCACCCAGCCATAGTAGAAGCCCCAGGGTCTGTTTGGATGTCCAGAGATTGATAATTGAGGTTGGTAATCCATGGATTACCGAACAGAGGAAGAGTGATCGGAATTTCAAACCGGCAGATTTTTGTTTTAACAGCGCATACCGGTAATAAATAAAAAAATATCATTGGTGGGAATTTTTGTGGTTTGTAAGGCTTAAAGTGGGATGTGTTGCATGCAACGGAAGACTAGAATTCCAGTGAAAGGGGTGGGAGTGGCGTGTGGTGTCAGTGTCCGGTGTTGCTCTCGCTCGGATGCAATCTGGAATTTTGACCTCCGGGGGTAAAACTCCAATCTCAGAGATTGCAGGGATGCGGCAGGGATTAAAATCTCGAAAAAATGGTCGTCCAAGCATGCCCAATATTGGGATTTTCAGAGATCGCTGGGGAAACCCCAGTTTTTGCGTTGCGGCCACCAAGATCCTCCTGTAAAGTTGTGGCATCCAAGCAGGCCCTTGATTGGGCTCTTCCGCCTGAAGCTATGTCAGAATAAATTCTACGATGGCATTTTGCTCATCAGACTTCAAGCAATACCGTACTGAGGGAGGGAGGATTCCGTGCGCTGGTTGTCCAGGCACCATTTCCGGTCGGCTATTAGGCGTTGCTGTGCTGGAAAAACTTCGGGAAATGGCTCCCGGATGCTCGAGTACTGGTACGGTACAGTACTCGAGTAGGATGGCGATCCCTCGAGATTGGGTTGTTCCGGATACTTGTATGGCACGGCGGCGGCGCAAGCACTCGTAGCGGTCTGAATGGTGCGCCAGCATCCGTTAGCCGTATATTTGTAGTTGTCTCCCGTACTCAACTAGGCAAAATCGAAGTGAAAGAGGAAAGAGGAAAGGGGAAAGAAATTTCGTGAGTGGGGACTTCTGTCCGGTTCAGCTATTCCAAGGTCCTATCGTTTTATCTCTTGGCTCCAAAAACAACTGAGGCTGAAACATTTGAGGGCGTATTGGAAGCCTATAAACAAGCTTGTATACCGCTCCCCGGAATCGTCGGGCTCGCTAGATAATTTATTTAGGTGTTGGATCATGGCACCAACCGCTACAACACAACTTACAACCCGCCATAAAACTGCGTCAAAGCAAAGCAACACGAGCAAACCCCTGCAGAACTTACCGTTGCTCAGGAAAAAACATTCACAAATCAACCTCGCCATCGCTCACTTCATTCTTTGCGATGCTCTCAAGGAAAGCAAAACACGCGAAGGCTGACCCCCGAAGGCGAATCCCGAATCTCGGCATCATACAGCGTACCGTACTAGCACTCGAGTACAGTCACACCCCGCTGTCCCGGATCTCGACAATCCGGATGCCTCGCTGTCCCGTATGAATCTCTGTGAACTCTGAATTTCTTTCCACCAAAACCTCACCCGCTGTCCCGGATCCTTCGCTGTACCGGACAAATTCTTCGGATTTTGGCCGTCCGGGATAGCGAGATGCGACTGTATGATACTCTACAGTGTACTCGAGTATGATACTCGTGTACAGTACCAATCCTCAGCCCTACGCGGTGAGAAACATCCCTGGGGTGCAATCGTCATGACGGGAATCGACAGGCGTCAGACCGTAAAAGAGGTGCTCGAGGGCTGTGCCCAGCTCTCAGATCGGTAGGGATCGGTGGGGGTACTCGGGTACGAGGTGATATATCCCCTGCCGGCCCCTGTCCATCACGTGCGCATGGGTTTCCGTATCTAACATTCCGAGCGCTTTTTCCCATCCTTTTTTTTATCAAAGCGCTTGTGTTATGATATTTGGTAATGCTGTCTGTCCCGGCGGGATGGGGCCTCGGTATCGGCATACCGGTGGGTGGGTAAGAGCAGAGTAAACTTGGGTAGGACAGAACCTGATGTATGTACAGTTATTGTATGATACGCCTATCATACTCGTACTCGTACTCGAGCACAATACCGGTAGTCTACATATCATGAAAGGTGAGCGGTGACGCTTCAATTACCAGCATCCGAACCAGCGTCCGTCAATCCGATTGGTTCAGCCGCACCTGCCGCACATCCCGAAGCCCTGAATTCACAGCTCGATTCGCGAGCCGTAAAATATCTTGTCGGATCTCATCAATCGACCGTTGCGAGCGCCGGAGCTTGCGTGACCCGTGTCGCATTCAAAAAGGAGAGATATGAACTGCACTTTTGCCAACCCGCTTCACTCTCATTGTGTTCACTCAGCACCCCCCCCTTTTTAGCGTCCCATCACCCTAATTGCCCTGACATCGCGATGGCCAGCCAGCCCTCCCAGCGAATCCACTCTCCGAGCAGGGGGGTTTCGTTGCTTGTCCATGTATGTTTACCACCTTCACGGCTCGGGTTAAGTGATGGGCGAGTCTTGCTAAAGCCGTTATTGTAATAGCTCGCGGGTTTAATTAGCTTTTTCAGTTCTTTTGATTTGTACCACCTCCCCCCTCCTTCCTCCCTTCCTCCCTTCCTCCTTACTTCCCTCCCCCTCCCTGTGAAGTCGATATTGAAATCAATATCACATCGCAGCGCAATGCCAGTACATGTGCTAACGCCTTATCAAGCCTCCTCAAGAATCCAAACGAAATGTACGTCTCTCAATCAAACAATCTAATGCGGGAAATTTTTCCTATCCCTGATCTATATCTCTCACCTGGGATGATTTCCCGACCGCTTACCGCCGCACTGACCAAATCACGCATCACATATACAGAAGTAAAGGATATGGGTGCGTATTGCTACCCCCCTTCCACCATGCCCTGTCTTATCTCCTCATTCTTCTTTCCCTCTGCCACCCCTCCTCTTTACCTGGTACAAGACGAACTAATTCTCGGTACGACACCGTATCAACAGCTGGCACTTTCAATTTCTTACGTAAGCCCGCAGCCCCCCACGCTCTCCTTCCCCCCACTTCACTCGGTTTGAGGAAGGTTGCCAGCACCCCCGAATTTGTCAATCTGCCGATGAGAAAAGAAAAATAATAATATTACATTCAGCCAAGAAATTTTGTCTGAGAGCGGAGGAGATCCGGTGTCGGGTTTTCCATCTTATCGTTTTTTTTGTCGCTAATTCGGCAAAAACGTCGTAACCTCACAGGATTATCGCCCTAAGCCTCGCAACAATAACCTTTGTGCTGGGGCTTGTAGCAGACCTCTTTCTCTGGCGGAACGCCTTCATCGCCAAGAATTGGCTGGCGGTTGGAAGTGCTCCGCTCGAGACGTTGATCAGTATTTTGTATTGGGGTATCAGTGCGGTGCATTCTAACCTTTTTTTAAGAAAATTCTGATAACCCTCCCCTACATTACCCATATATGTTGCTCCTACATATACGCTCCTGCACTTGTGCACGATGCAACATCTCGTCCCGGGACTGCAGGCTAATCTGAACGAGGGGCCGGGGGGAGGTTATGAACGCTTCAGATTGATAGAGACCTAGTTGTTCCGCCTGACATGCGGCTTGACCCTTTTGTCGGTTAGTCTCCTCATCCACTCCCTTCTGCATATATTGTGCATACCCGCCCTGCCTTATCTCTAACCCTTTCTTTCCTTCTCATTTCCTCCCTCAAGACATGGGCTTTCACCTCTTCCCCGCGCTCCTCCTACTCATCGACATTCTGCTCCTCTCGCCGCCATGGGCATTCACTTTTCTACCCGCAATGTTGATCCCCTCGGGAATTGCCACTGGGTATTGGATCTGGCTAGAGCATTGCTTTTCTGTTAACCGGAATTATCCATATCCGTTGTTCGATGTTATTGGACCCAAGGAGAGGGTCGCAGTGTTTGTTGGGAGCGCGGTTATGATGATGGTTTGTGCTTTGGGAATTGGGTGGGGGTACGAGAAGGTCAATGGGGTTGACATGGTTAAGCAGGTGGAGAGGAAGAGGGCGTAGGTCTGGTGGAGTGGGTGTGCTTGGCGCTAGGGGGGGGGGGGGGGAACTATGGGGACAATATATGGGCTGTGTGTGGGGAAGGGCGTGGATGGAGACGACATTGATAGCTAATAATATAGCGATGGGTGAGACGGTGAATAATTATTGGTATTTTTGGGTACTATAGATACAAACATAACTTTTGGTCTACTACATGGCTGCCACGAGCGCATTACTGCAAGTGCTCGAGCGCAGCACAATTCCCCGTGATGATATAGTACAACATCATGGCACCCGCACTTCCCCCAATCTACCCCCCAAAGGAAAGCACAACCCTCCCATCATCAACTTTCACCCGCAGCCCTTGAAACGCCGCCCCCTTGGGGACTTCATCATGGGCACCCCCCACCTCCTTCTCAAGCCTCTCCAAGAACCCTGCGAATCCCAATTCCTCCTTTCCAACTAGATCCGCAAGTCGCTCTTGACTCATCCTCGCCTTCTCTCCCTCCCCCTTCTCCTTCTTCTTCTTCTTCTTAGCTGGAGTATCCTCCGCAGAAGCGCTCTTGCGCTTCTTCTTGTCGACCGCTTCGATGGCAGGGGCAGGGTTGGGGCTCGTTTCCGGCGCAGCGGGAGTGTCTTTAGATTTCTTTTTATCTTTCTTGGCCTTCTTGTCCTTTTTGGATTTCTTTTTCTCCTTCTTGGAGGGTTTCGACTGGTCGGGGGATTCGGCGGGAGGGGTGTCGTCCATAGGTGTATCTTTAGCTTCGAGCTCGCTAACCTCGGTTACGGGGGCAGCGATTGCCTCTGGAGATCCCTTCTTCTTCTTGTCCTTCTCCTTCCCACTCTTCCCCTTCCCCTTCTCTGGCTTGTAGAAACTCCCCTGATACTTTTCCGCCTCACTAACGCAACTCTACCCCCCCCCTCAATTAGCACAACTGGCGGGAGGGAAAGAGGGAAAACGAACGGTATGACCCTTCCACTGCCCCTCCACAAACGTCTTTGAACAGTCAATGCATGTATAGTATGCCCCGCGACAGCGCGCGGCGTGAGAGTCGAGTTTGGGCTTTTTGAGGATGTCGGAGCAGATTTCGCAGGAGACTGTGATTGTTTGTTAGGATTGGATTGGTTAGTTTGCGGGTCCCGGGGGGGAGCGACTTACAGGAAACCATTTTTTTTTTGGGGGGGGGGTGGTAGTGGTAGTAGGTAGCGGTGAGGTTGGATGGAGGAATTTATTTTTCTCCCCCGTGTGGAGTAGGAAGGGACACGTGCAGGGTTCCGTTCCATCCAGGAACACTTTGGAGAGGCTAACTGCTTTTGGAATGGTCATATGTTGTCACTCGTCCTTGCCCCCTCGTGGTTTGGGTTTTGTGCTCGTCCGCGGTGGATACTAGTTTCGTTTCGTCTAGTTTCTCTTACTACTGGTTTTACCCTCACCACTCCCTTCACACTTACGAGTAGACTCCATTTGGCGTTTCTCATCTCTTCCCCTTTCGTCTCACGACTTCACAACCATACCGTAATCAACGATGGTAATATCCCTTCCCTCATCACTTGTCGTTCATCGTCCTTCCGAAGTTTTTTTTCTTTTTTTTTGGAAGTTTTTCCCTCTCCACCGAGGTTCTCGCCTGATGTCAACCTCGGCTCTCAGTCATCCATTCTCTTCTCCTGTGTTTTTTCTCAGTTTGGTGTAAACTCGCACCTGCGCATGCAGTAGGAAATAAAAATAAAAATAGAGGAGTCAAGCCTCTTTCTCTCTTTTCCCGGCTATACAAATTCACGTTCGGGGCTTCGGAGATTCTTCTACTGCTAACGGCCGTGATGGAGGGTTCGGGGTGGTGGGCGAGATCCGGGAGTTGTACTGTACGCTACGGGTATCATAGCTGTATCATGTATGTGGCTTGTTTGGGGTATGGAGTGCTTGAACCAGTCGGTACGGTTTTGGGAGGATACTCAAGCCGTAGTCTATAACGGTGGTGAGATCGAGGGGCACCACGCACCCTCACCAACAGCTTGGTATCATACCGGTACCGTATCAAAACGTCGGGAAACCGAGCTACGGCACACGGCACATGGCACTTTTCCAAGTTCATGTGTTCAGCCGTGATCCATGAATGACAGATCCATCCCGTTTTTACCGCCTTTCGCATTGGGAACTGTTAATTAGGGACCCGTGCAGAAAGACTCGTATTATAGTCTGCTTCTGACTAAGTTCGTCTGTGTTGGTGGTGGCTCCGGAAAAAATGATGCTGAATCGGTCTACTGTAAGAGTGCGAGCTTTATTATTATTATTATTGTTTTTTTTTTTAGTTTGTCTACCATACTGGGCATGGTTTATATTGTGCGTTTCGGCATTTGGTGTGATATCACGATTTGTCTTTTTTGGCTGGCGGTGCGGCGAGTGAGGCGGTGTGATTGCGTTGCGAGGTTTATCAGCTTGGATGTACGAGCAGACTAGGGAGGATGTCGAGGAGGGTGATGGGCGTGCCTCCCTTGCCGGAATTGAGGAGGAGGGAAGGTTACGGTACTGTACAGTACTCGAGGACTTGGGCAGCTGCAGTGTCAAATCTGCCTGACCAGGAATTTTGGTCTGCTGGTCTCCTAATCGACGGATAGAGTATGATACTTTACTGTATTATACGTAACGGGTTACGCACCTTGTACGAGTGGTTCGTAAGTATTGCTACCACTGATACGAAGTTGTATGAACTGGTATGGCATTTGTGCCCGCTGAAAGGCTATATAAGGGGGGGCGATTACCTTGAACATTTGGTGGGATGTTTGCTGTGGGACTTACTCCTTGCGTTGCTAGATCAGCTGTTGCGGTTTTAGACTGCTGTACAGTAAGGTATGTCTATTATTGGCACTCAAGTACGAGTGGTATGTCGTGCGATCACGCGGATGCCGGTGTTTCCTTTAACTTTCGGTTCTTCACTTTGGCTATTTTCGGCTTATCGTATTGTGCCTTGTGCGTGTACCTGGTACTGGTAGGTAGACTAAAGCCATCCCTTTCGTTCGTTCCCGAGGTTCACGCACTTTTGGTGAGTGCGGAATGCGGTAGGCCCTCCGATGCCCGTTTTGGTGAGATGATTGCAACCATTATCTCCTGGACTGCTAAGAAACTTTGGAAATCTCGCTGCCCCTCTCATCGCCTAGGACAGTGTGTGTTTTGGGTTACAGGCTCAAGTACCGGTACTGGTACAGTACTGCTGTAGCGCTCGTTTGTTCTGCTCGGCGTGCATGTAACTTGCAGTACTGTAGCAACGGGTGTCCTGTGGGATGTCGTGCAGATCTACTCGAGTGCCAAGTTCCAGCAACGGATAACAGTATTGCTTGATAACGACAATAGAGGCGGCAGGAGATTTTTAAGGGTTCCCATGGCCCAGGAAATAGCTTTGTTCTTGAAAACGAACGAAGGGATTGGGTGCGCCGGGTCTCCCCGTTTTTCTTGAGTGTGGGAGCTTTGTGGATGCTAGAGCAACGCGCGGCTGAAACCCCCTCAGTTAGTAACCATAGCTAGTCTTTCCATTCTCCCATCCTGCTGCGCGTTCCACTTCAAGCCTCTAAGAACCCATGGGTTTCTGTTCGCAATACCATGGCTTGCTTCAGTCATAATACGAACTCTTTCAACACTACCAACATCGGTTCTGTGCTCGTTACAAGCACTGATGGAAGAGCGGAGCTTCTGTCCTGGCTTTCTCCGCTGGAACCTCACAAGAGGCACCAGGATGTGCGTACACGGAGGTACGATGGTATAGGGGATTGGCTTTTGAAGACACCTGAATTCGAGGGGTGGCGGGCCGGTCATTATGGGTCCCCTATCCTTTACGTTTCTGGCGCTCCGGGGGCCGGAAAGACTTATTTAAGGTATATTCTGTGGTATTTTATGGGGGGTGGCCGGTGCTGATGGATTGCGGTCATAGTTCCCTCGTTGTCGACACCATATGCAACGAGAATCGAGAGCAGCGTGTTGGAGTGGCTTGCCTGTACGTCGATTTTCTTGGGCAGGAAGACTGGTCCGTAACAAGCATGATTGGCGCCATTCTCAAGCAGTTTGTGGTCGCATTGCCCGAGATCCCCGAGGAAATCCGCCGGGATTTTCTGAGCTCAACTGAGCACCTGGGGGGACGGGGCCTTCGCCTCTCAGAGTTGGTTCAGATGTTCCGGGTTGTTATGCCGGCTTTCCACCGCGCCTACATCTGCATTGACGCCTGGGATGAGATTCATGTGGCGAAGAGACCCGAGCTTCTCGCCTCTCTCTGCCAAATTTTGCGGAATTCGCCTGAAACCCGATTGTTTATCACTGGCAGACCCCATATCAGGGAGGAACTCGAAAGGCAACCCATGGAGTCGGTTGATTGTCTAATTTTTGAGCCGAGACAGCAGGATATCAGAAATTATCTAGTTTCGAGGTTGCAGTCCGACCCGGAGCCGGGATCGATGGACGAACAATTGGAGTTAGAGATCATGACCAAGATCCCCGAAAAATTTTCAGATATGTGAGTATTGGTAGAAGTGTTGGTATCCTTGGCCAGCGTCTAACAATTGCAAAGATTCCTGCTTGTTTTCTTGCATATCGAAGCGATTTTGGGAGAGACGACCATCTCTCGCAGGAGAAAAAAGCTCAACGGGCTGACGGATGGCCTGGTTGGCACTTATGACTCGACGCTAGATCGCATAAAACGGCAACCTGGGGACAGGCCGAGGCTGGGAATGGCGGTTTTAATGTGGGTTTGTCTAGCAGCACGGCCGCTACGGGTTGACGAGCTATGCCATGCTGTCGCTGTGGAGCCTGGAACTCTGGACCTTGATCTCAATGATATCCCCACGATACAATTACTGTTAGGGTGCTGCCTTGGTCTTGCGGTTGTTGATGAGCGAACATCAACGGTCCGTCCCGTGCATTTCACTGTCAAAGAATATCTGGTTTCACAGAGCGATCTTTTTCTCAATGCTCATTCCATGCTTGCCGAGATTTGTTTAACATATCTGAACTATCGATGTGCGAATCAACTCCCCCCGAATGCTCCCACAGCTCTGGCCGCGTTGCCATTTCTTAGATACGCTTCATGCTATTGGGGTATACATTTCGGGGAGCAAGCTACGCCAGCTGTGAAAGCCCTTGCCCTTGGGCTTTTGAGCCAGTGTCCTGACCACGTATCTGCTTGCGTGTATTTGCTCGAAGGAGGCGAACGGATACGCTATGTGGCGAATAAGATGTTGCCACCACCAACTTCTATGATTACAGTAGGATTCACTGGGCTGCACTGGGCTGCGTCTCTCGGTATCACTGAGCTTGTGGGCGATCTCTTGAGGATAAAAACGGTTGATATCAGTACGACAGACTCTTTTGGGTGCACACCGCTATTGTGGGCCATCATGAATGGTCATGTGGAAGTGGTGAGGCAACTACTTGAAGAACAGGATTCCGGGACACTCTCAGTTGTCGCTCGGGGGGAACGGCTATCGATACTTTGCTCGGCACGGGTTTGGTATCGGAGAATCTTGGATCCCATGCGGGGTAGAAAGAGGGCTAATCCAAACGTGAAGGATGTATGGTGGGGCCGAACACCACTTTCTTGGGCTGTTGATTGCGGGCACAAGGAGATAGTGGAGGTTCTCCTGAACCAGAAAGATATTGATCCAAACTCACGGGACTTCACTGCCGCCACACCTCTATCATGGGCAGCGCACGAAGGTAGGGAAGAAATGGTGAGGATGCTGCTGAGACGGGAAGATGTTAACCCTGACGAGGTGGATAACGCTGGAAAATCATCCCTCTTCTGGGCTGCCAGGAATGGACATGTGGAAGTGGTGGAGCTATTGTTGGGCCAAAGGGGCATAAATGCGGACAGGAGAGACTTGATCCATGGTAGAACTCCGCTCTCCCAGGCTGCTGAGAAGGGATATGTGGGAGTAGTGAAGCTACTTCTGGAGCGAGGTGGTGTCGATCCAAACTTGGCGGACAATAGGGGCCGGACACCGCTGTTCTGGGCTGCCAGGAATGGACACAAGGAGGTCGCGAGGTTGCTGGAACGGCATCAACTGGAGATTTGAGACGAGATGAGCGGGATAGCGCGAAAGTCCGACTCTGCTGAGACTGGAGGTCGACACGAAGCTATTTGACTATCGGCGCAGGGGATTGAACTGAGTTATCGAGATTTTCGAGATG